AGAAATGCATCAAAGACTTCTGAAGTGAACAACTTGAAAGCTTAAAGTCAAGTTTTTATTGCAGATTCTGAAATAGTCATCGCTTTATTTATAGAAAAATTATTTGCCTAAGTCTCGTGAAATTAAACGCAGGACATTGTAAGCAGTATGTCAAAGCTGTACTTACTAGCTGAGAACGTATGATAATGCGATTAGCATTTGTCACATCAAAGTGAGATATTTTCTGCGTGCGGCTTCGTATGAACAAAGAAAATATTATAAACAGCAACTAAATAACATAAAATATAGAAAGTTTCGCATAGAATTTTTAGAAAACTGTTGCAACTCATTCATAGGTTAAAAACCGTATAACATCCATATTTGTTTCTTCAGATTTGTCGTGCGCTTATGAGTGACTTTTTTCAAAAACCTTCATATATTTTTTATAATCATTCATATTTTAAAAAAATTTCAATCAATTTCTTTTATTTTCATTAAGCGTAGTTTTTCTCCAGTGTTTCCAGCACATTTTTAAATACAGTTATCATATCGAGAAACTTCCATCGGTAAAATTCACTGCGAAAATTTTCTTTCAAAACAGCCAAAAGAACCAGTTCTCTGAAAACCCTGCTTGGGATACTTTCTGATTTTTTTTCCAACGGGAAGAGCATATTACAAAACCATTGAGCCGCTTCTTACCTCCAACTTCCCGGCCACAAGTTTATCTCGAAAAATATATCGCCAATCTAGACGAAACTTTTGAGGGGGCGTTAGTCCTATCAAGTATAGTTTTTGAGGTTCCATCTGTCAGCTTTCAAGAGATGTCATCTTAACACGGTCAATGGGGCTCTTGGTATTTCTCAAAAATCTTCGCCAAAATAGATGTTGAAGCGGCTGGGTTGGTTTTACGATTAGGCTCAGGCATATAGCTAGAGCGAGAAAGAGTCTAATTCTTGAATTTTAGTCTATTTCTGTTTCTACTGTTGTTTTTTAAAGCTTTTTTACGGTTTCCGCTCTAGCTATATGTCTTGAGCTCATCGTAAAAACAGTCAATCTCTCCACCATGTATTTGGACGGAAATTTTAAAGAAATGCAAAACGCCATAGAAGAAGAAGGCAGTTTAGACAGAAGATGGTCTGATGCTCAATAGATTTATATCTGTTATAAAATAATGTTTACATTCTTGTTTAATTAACAGTTCACAAACATAATCAATCCAGTATCGAGCCATATATTCAGCAATTAACTCATCATTGTTTGTCTGAAGCTCATAGGTTTGAAACAACTCGTTCATTGTTTCACACATCCCAAAACCTGTTGTTTTAACAAAATATGATGCTAAATGTTGTTCTGATTCATTATTCAGTTTAACATTGTGTAAATATTTATAGTAAATAGCGCGTGCTACACCATTTAGAATCTGTTGTGTTCTGGTACGTTCTTAGGCAAATAATTTTTCTATAAATAAAGCGATGACTATTTCAGAATCTGCAATAAAAACTTGACTTTAAGCTTTCAAGTTGTTCACTTCAGAAGTCTTTGATGCATTTCTAACGACAGAATCATTCTAAAAATAAGAAACCACTTGAATCGAAGATGAGTGCTACTCTTCTAACTTCTCAGCTGACTTTTTCATATTTTTATACAACCATGTAACATCATGAGAAAGGGCTACTGTGCAGCAGAAGGTCAGAGGAATTTGGTTCGTTTCTTGGACACTCAATCTGAATGACTCTTTTCCTACACCATATGAATTTCATTATGGTGAAGATTCTCGAAATCATATCACTGTACTTCATTCACGTGGATTAACGCTTCGCGGTGAACCGTTTGGACAGCATTTTCCTTCTATACCAGAATCTGATTTTATTCAGTCCATTTTGAACGATGTAATGAGTCCTGTATTCGGACTGACTTCTTCCTCATCCCAAAATAATTCAACCTACGTTATTTTAAACGCTTGTCGTACATACGCCTATTTTAAAACAGACGATCATGCAATTTTGTCAAAAAACGAAGGTGGACCATGGGCACTGACACACTTACCCACTAATAAATATAATGATCTTATCCAAATGGCGCTTGATGCTTACCAAAATGGAACGAGAAACAACGATGTCATACATGATGATTTTCTCAATTTCAAGAACTATATGACTGGCTTATTAGAACCTTATCAGATTCGAACAAATGCCGAATAGTCCAATGAGAGATGCATTTCTTCTATCTGCACTTGATGGAAAAGTCTGCCGAGTAGTAAGAGATTCCTTATGTTTTTATCAAATACAGTAGAGGCTATCAAATCAGAGGGATCTAAAATTCGCCCTGCTTTGGTTAGTTAACTAAAATTAGACTGTACCCACAATCTAATATGCAATGAATAGGAGATATTCTATTTTTTTTAATGTTTTCAAGCAGATTAAAGCAAAATAAATCTTATATTTGTCCTTGTCGGATAATGTGTTTAACACAATTAGTTTTGACATAACTTTTGTGTGGTAATATGGAAAGCTCTAAACAATTTATTAATCAAAAAACGAGTTTTGTGGTTTACTTTAAGTAACGTTTGTGACCTCAGAAAAACAGTTTCAACAGACTATAACCTCATACAAAATTAGAAGTACGTTTTTTCCTCATGAGACACATAGCAGATTCTGAGTTTCCCTTTAAAATACAAGAAGAATGTTTAATTTCTATTCCGAAGGAGAGGTAGGCGCAATTGGGCAAAAATTAACCAGAGTACTATCAGTTTTGCTAAAAGTAAGTTCGTGCACTCAACTTCGGTTTTCGCCAAGATCTGTAACTTTTTATATTCTACAAGATGTATAGGCCCTTGACTTCAACATCGACAGTTTTGTATATCGTGCTGTGTTTTACATGGATTTATTCAAAATTCGTTTTTTTCTTATTCTATTAAGCACTTACCACTGTATGATAATAGAAAAACCTATTACGTTTGTCTGGGCGAAGTTTTTCACACAGGCAATAGAAACCATATCAAAATCATCCGTTACTACTAGAATGTTACGCCACTAACTATGTAGGACCAAGTTTGTTATCTAATTGCATCAAAATGTATTGTGTCCCTTTGATTGAGTGATATATACGGACTATTCTGGTGGTATTTTGCTCTGGATAGTTCTCGTTTTTTGGTTGTTTACAGTACCTATGACAGGCAGGGTATATATGATTTTCCATGAAGATAGAACAGCCCATTGGGGATTTGTCGGAGTTCGTCAATTCAATTTTCGCCAACGTTCGCCAATAGACATTCGCAGACGGCGAATGTTCACGAAAATTGGCGAATGTCTGTTTAATGTGCCACACATATTAAAATAGTATCATTTTGGTCAGAATAATTTTCTGTAAAATGTGTGCTAGAGCAATACTGATAGAAGCTATTTTAGTGAAATTGCATCTGTAAATAAGAAAATGATGGAAAGTCACTTTACTTGGAAAAAACTGGTCTCTAAATATTGAAAGGAAATTCAAAACGAGTTTCTTCTACTGACTATATACAAAATGAGATCTAGAAGGTGGCAATATAGTAGGTGCTTTTAATTCTTCCTTGTAATATAATCTTTTCAGTAATTTTACAATAATCACCTTAATGTATACCCATATTTTAGTAAGTCATTAAATCAATTAGTATTAAGTTCTTCATTAGTAATATTCATTTTAGTTGTGAAAGCAAACGTCATTATGGACAAAAATAGCTTGCAATCAGGGTTTAATAACCCGGATTCTTCATAGATGTCACCTCATCATTGTCCCCGTATGAAACGATAGGTATTAGGTTACTTACAGACGATAGTACGGGATTATTGTCAGTGATATAAAGACTCTTGCATCATATATCATGTGACATTTCAGTTTACGACAGTTTGTTGATGCGAAGACAATTTTGAGAATGTGTAACTACCTAATTTTCTTCTTTTCTGTTAAGTTTTTTGTGTATCCACAAATAATGATCCTTATACTGATTCACAATAAATGCTCTTCGTACACTGCTTCGCTGCTTTTTCTTTGTCGCTGTCACAGTTTGTCTAGCACTAATCACTTCTTGAACTATAGTATTAGGTTTTGAATAGGCTTGTACTTCTTTCATCGAATATTTTTACCAAAATCTGTTGCAACGGTTTGTTACCAATGGGGGTAAAATCGCGTTTCGTCAATTCAACTTTCGTCAATAGACATTCGCCATATTGGCGACTGGCGAATGTCCACACGACATTCGCCAGTACCTGTCCTCAGTATTCATTGGAGTGTGCATATGCGCGTTTTTCTACTCTAAATAGTTCCTAATATCAAGATTTATGGTACCTCAACTTTCATGTGTGATTTTCGAAATTTCAATGGTTTTTTTCTTGCGATAAATTTTGAATACTTCTCCCTTGTCTTCTCATTCACGTTCTAGGCAAAGGGATAGTTCTTTATTCGTATATTTAGTTAGACCATAATCCATTCTTTTTCTCTTTGTTTTCCTCTGACTTTTTATATACAGGCAGACAGATAGAACGATAGATATATGTTTCTCTCTGTTTGTGACGTATCATAGACTTTCATCTTTTCGCCAATAGACATTCGCCATAATTGGCGAATGTTCCCGCGACATTCGCCGATTGGCCGATTGGCGAATGTCTATGAGACATTCGCCAATTTTCGTGAACATTCGCCGTCTGCGAATGTCTATTGCCGAACCTGTCCCTGATTTTAAAGCCCATGTAACTGTGCATGTTTTCATTTATAAGATTCCATTAAGGTCATCGAAATCGCAGAGAAAAATGAATAGGCAGTCGAATAGATTTTTTGGACTGATGCTAAGAAATGATAAAAAATTCCAGCATATGACAGTCTATAATTAACTTTTAAGGCGCACAAATATTAAAAACTAAATAACGAACGGTTTCTGATAAGTGTTGGTCGTTCTCGTCCCAAAAATTTATAGGGCTTTTCTTGCAGAAATTGTCCCCCGTCCTTTATCAAAATCTTTACTTTTCCGTTGACGTTAGATATGTTTTCATTGAAAAAGTCGTTTGAGCGGCGCCAGTCGTCATGTATGTGCAATGGCTCTCATGGCTAAGACAAAATATAGCATACGTTTTTCAATCATTTGTTCACCGAAATCAGACGCGATTAGTACTTTTTTTGTAAATGATGTTTATCCGTGTATCTGTTAACATCCGTATAAAAATCCAACAAGATTTTCCAAGATACAGGGGCATTCAATATAGTAGTTATGCGAGCTTTTTTGAACACGGCAGTGAGTTACTCTACTTGTTCATGTTTAAAGATAATTCTCAGAAACGCTCTCTGCTCTTCAGGATTGAGATTTGTGTTTTTACTATTATGCTGATATATCGGCGATGGTTCTTAATGTTCAGATTTGTGCTTATAAATTTATTTTACGTAATAATTCCAGAAGTTGAAATCAGCATGAATAATAATGATCAACAACACCGACCACGACAAAGATTAATCACCACACGAACGATGAAATTGGTCTATGCTGATATAACAGCAGTATTAATCGAAGAAAATGTAATGAAACAACATTTAAGACTGGGAAAAGCAGCAAAAGAAGCGTTAATTCATGGCAGCGAAATGTTCTTGAGAAGTGTGTTTGCTGATGCAACACAGTGTGCAGAACATGCTGGGAGGGCAACGCCATTAGAAAATTAGCCCTTTGGTTACGGATCAACCATACATGGTGTTTGAAGTTTTGTAGATATTACTGTCATTACAATATCATTTAGACTTGATCAAAAAGACTCCTCTCTTTTTTTCGTATCTTGGTAATATTATTAAGTCATCGTCACGAATAACTGTGCGCATTTATGCGCTCTCTCTTGCGTTCTGACACGTCTGCTTCTCACATTCTACATTTTGTAATATATTCTGGTGTATTGTTTTTCTTTTTCTTTTTCTTTTTTTTTTCAACACGTTCTCTCGTATATATAAAACTGCATATTCTACACAAGAAGCTAATCATATCTTTCGATATACATTCTTAGAAAATCGAAATAAACTTTCGTTATTCTGTACGTATATTTTCATATAAACAATTTATTATTCACATCTATTACGTAAAATTTTTCGCAAAAGATGGCAACGCCTACATAT